CTCGCGAGGACCTCTTCCGCCGCACGATTCATGACCACCGACGGAGAGCACGTCGCTCTCGTGGCGACGACTGCGCCACTGCGCGGTATCTCCACGAAACCTACCGACCAGACACGAGAGGGGTTAAAACGCCGGAGGAGTGGGGGAGGGATGCCGGAAAGGGAAGGAGACAGGTAGAGCGGTGCGTGTGCACGTAGTAATAGTACGCTACGCGAAGGTAGATGTACCCGGTGTCCCGTGAACCACGGATTCCCCTCCAAACAGGGATCAAATTCACCCCAATTCATCGGCTTTACAGTTTACAAATTTCGAGTTTACAAATTACCAATCTACCCATTGACCAATCGAACAAACTACCACAATGCCCATGTGTCTATTTAGCTGGCTACTCATGAAGCAATCTACCCAAGTACACATCAAAGTGGCCACTAATTTGGCCATTGAGGGATCTACCTAACGCAATACCGATTTGGAGATTTACTCATTTAATCATGTATCAATCTACCTGTCTTTAGTCATCTGCTCATGAAACTTTCACTAATCTACTCTTTGACAAATATACTGAACTACCATGATACCAATGTGCCTGTTTACCTAACTACTTTCGCACCAGTCTGTCTATCTCTCGATCTAGCCGTCTACCGATCTACGTATCAATCAATCTATCTATAGTTCAATTGTATACCTATCGACCAATCTAATCATCGAACAATCTAACTATCTACCTATCTATTTATGGCACTACCAATGTATGACAATATTGATCTGTCCATTAGTTCATCTAATAATTTACCAATCTACCAATCAATCAATCCGCTAATCGACCTAGCTGCCTTCCAATGCATCAATCTACCAATCTAGCAACCTTCCGATCTACCAATTTGACAGCCTTCTAATATGTTAATTCATCAATCTATCAACCTTCTAATGTGTCAATCCATCAATCTACCAATCTAGCAACATGTGGAACTACCAATCTACAAATCTAGCAACATGCGGAACTACCAATCTACAAATCTAGCAACATGTGGAACTATCAATCTACCAACCTAGCAACATGTGAAACTACCAATCTACCAACCTAGCAACATGTGGAACTATCAATCTACCAACCTAGCAACATGTGGAACTACCAATCTATCAAACTAGCAACCTTCCAAATGATCAATCTACCCTATTATGTCCTTCAAACTTCATGATTTAAAAATATTAAATTACCATATTTATAAATCCCAGCGTGGTAAATAAACAAATTGATAAGTTTCCCAATGTACCATCCACAAATTTCCACATCACAAAATTCTAAGATCTTCAAACTTCATAAATCTTCAAATTTACAAACCTATCGATTGACGAACATACAAATGTACAAATCATGAACAGCAAAACCAGATCGAAAACCCTTGCACCATTTCGCAGCCCATGTCCTCGTTTTTGAGATATAATCAATTGAAGATTGCAATATCAACTTTACACGCGATGACATCGAGTTCAGCTGGTAATTGAGCATTGTTCCTAATTGAGAAGAGTGTACATGTGACTTATCGATTTTAAGTACTTCGAAAATTATTGCTGGAAAGAGCAAGTAGTTAGGATGCTGACGTTAATGAGACATTAAAAACTTGTAACCAAACATTCAGCAGTCCTAACATAACATAAACTAATCCTAACATAACATAAACAATCCTAACCTAATTATGAACCAGCACACTCTAATTTAACTTGTTCCTACATGAGCCTAATCAAACCTAAACCTAACTTAGTCAAGCCTAATCTCATGTGTTACTTAACTTCATTTATAACAACTTAAAACTGAATTGGGCTAACTGAATGTTATGTAAGCCTAAGTCAGTTTAGTCTAGTCTAACCTAAGGCGCTAAAAATATTATTAAAATTTAGCGCAGAAATTTTTGAATCTAATTTTACAAAATTTTGTATAATATAGCTCAACTAACCTAACCTTAAATTATCGCAACCTACATTGTCAGTACAACATAACCTTCAATTGCCATAATCTAACCTCACTTAAATTTAGCATAATGTAATGCAACTTAATCCTAAATTACTATAATTTAATTTAACCTAATCTTGCATTGATCTAAACTAACCTAAGTTCAACTGAGTTTAATTTAATGTAAATCCACATTAGCCTCAATTCGAATTTAAAAAGTTTGCCAAACCTAACCTAATTCTAGGTTTTCCAGATTAAATACTCGATAGAAACTTGTAAACACCCCGTATATGAGTGTAGCTATATATAGTTCGATGCGCGTGCGTTTATGACTGAAGGAGAGGGGAGAAGAAAGAGAAAAGGTTAAAATCGTAATGGCGCGTATGTCCAAGGCACAGTTGAAACTGACACACGTTCCGCGTGTTCGCTTCAATGTAATCAACAGATGGATGGATTTTCATCGACGATCAAGTTTTAAGTTGTTTCGGGCGTTATACAACGGCGCTTACGACGGCCACGTCAGAGCACCTACCACCTGTGGTGCTCACCCTCGATCCTTGTGGCCGACCCACAATCCACCCGCTCCACTATCGCGCACACGCGCTACACCGAAAATCCCTCTTTTGATCGAAGCGAATTTTAAATTCTCGTCTTTGTGCTCCTCCTATGTTGCGCCACACGTGCGCGAGTCACGTGCGAGGATGTTGAAATTTTTATGACCTTTGGTTCGATATCATTCGGCCGTTGAGAAGATTTGTTCAGACAATTTAGTTAATTTCAGAGTGATAGCAGATAAATTTCTACAGTTACCTCATCAATTTACCAATTTAGAAATTTATAAATTATCAAATGTACAAAATGGAGCGTAGAGTCTAAAAGAATAAATTCACATCGTTGGAACTTCTTTCAAAGTTTCCAAGTTCCTATATCCTACTCAAGAATTTCTACCCCGGCATTCATATAATTACCTAATTGTCCGCCGAACAAAGTCTGGAAACAACATAATTGTAGCGAAAGTGTAGCGCGTATAATGCAGAGGGGAAATGCCGCGTCTAATGCGGACACCTTACTATCTGAAAGCTGGAAGCTCGAACTTGTTACTATAGCAGAAACGTTATCGTACACCGTCAACATTCGGTGTAACATTTTACCATGGTTTCTTACCTCGATGCTCGCACCGTAGCCTCGTTCGAGGAAAAAAAAGAAATGCTGCGTCTGGTAAGCTTCTCATTTCTTCACGGGGAGATACAGGAACGGATACACAGCAGCCCCATCGTAAACACGGATTAAGGGAAATGTTCTGGTGTAACGTTACTAATTCCCGTGAAAAAACAAATCGATCTGACGCGAAGCTTCTGTTAATTGTCAACGAACATATGGAATTCCGGTTGCTTTTATTTTTTTACTCCCGAACTCGGAACTTTTGTTGACGGAAGGTATCGACTTTGGGATACGGTTTGTTGTTGTTATCGCCTATAGTGGTAATGACTAATGATTATTATTGCCTATGGGGTTCCTGAGTTTGTGGAAGTTTGGGCAGTGTGTGATTATTGGTGCAATCGGTTTTGGAAATTGCTGGGTATGGGATGGTAGATTTGTGAGTGCCAGAAGTGGAGATATTGCAGGTTTTTGCAATTGATGAGGTTTTAATTTTAATTTGAGTTTAAGGGAAATTATTCAGAACGTGAAATTCAATTTCATTTCAAGTCCAAGTATGCATACAGCAAAATAAGTCACAATTCAATTTCAATTCTAATTGAACTAAAAGTACATTCAACCATGTAATTCAATTTCAATTAAAATCCCACAAATGCACCAAAATGAATCACAATTCAATTTCAATTCAAATTGAACTATAAATACATTCAACGACAAAATTCAATTTTAATTTAAATCTCACAAGTACATCAAAATAAATCATAATTCAATTTCATTTCAAATTTTACTATAAATACATTCAACCATAAAATTCAATTTCAATTTAAATCTCACAAGTACATCAAAATAAATCATAACTCAATTTTAATTTAAATAGAACTAAAAATACATTCACCCATATAATTCAATTTTAAAGAACGTCCCACAAATGCATTCAAAAGAAACCCAATTAGGTTCAATTCAAATTGAACAAAAAGTACATTCAACTATAAAATTCAATTTTAAAGTCACAATTGAAATAAATTGAACGATTCAACATGAATACAAACCCGAAACAAATGAATCGTAGTTCGATCTCTAATAGACACACCATAGAAGGTTATCC